TCTTTTCAAATAAATAGCGTCATTGTAACCTTATAACTTTTCGGTTTCATGTATATTTGTAAAATTTCGTAGCTGCCCTGTTTTGTTTTACTTTGACATGCAAGGTCTGAACCCCGCGAGCCTGCAGAGAACTTGCGGAGGGGAGAGGGTCGGTTTTTGGCAGAGGCCGAGAAAGTTTCAATTACGTTTTATCAAACATTTTAATGGCGCCGACCGACACAACATCTGTCAAGCCGGTCTGCATGACGGCGCTCTGGGCCCGCCCGCCCCGCCCCTGCGACTCGCTGTGTTTAGAGGCCGGTGGGGCTGCAGCAACGGCGGGGGCTCTGTAATGTGCGACAACTGTCATCAACTCTTGGGGCAAAGTTTTCAATTTTCCCTCCCGTACATGAAAAGTGTGCCCGCTGCGCGCCCCCGGCCTTTGGCGAGGCGCATAAAACATAAAACAAAATGTATTTGGATAAGCCACTGAACTGGGGAAATGTTTTCTTCTTCTTTCCTCGCACTACATACTTACGTAGTCCTTTCGCGTGCAGTCTACCTGACGAACTGCTGCTTCGGTGCCGCCGAAGTTTCAGTCCCACTTGCAGTGCTTCTCTTTGTGCTGCAGCACACTAAGGAGCTTTCTCTTTCCATCCCTCCCTCCCGCAGCGTCTACCCAATCCACCATCTACCACTTTTCTGTTATCGGACTTTGTTTATCGATTCAATTCTTAGTTTTATTAAAATTAATTGGTAAATGTGTACACTGTAGAATCCATGCTGGTTAAGTGTCTATAATATTGATAGACATTTCCACGGTCCGTTCAGCACCACCATTGTAACTCCCGCACCCCCTTACTCCCCCTTCTCGTCTCATTTTCATTTGCACCAACTTGCTGGAACATATAAGATGAGATCACTTTGTTGTTCCTAGCGCACGCCAACGTGTGGGCTGTGGCTGTGATTGGTTGGTTGTATGCCTCGCTCACAAGCCAGAGCCAACCAATACGAGCCGCGGGGACACTCAAAGCTGTGCCGCACGCTTCTATGTTTTGGGAACCAATCGGCGCGCGCGTCTGTCTGTGTGTTCGTCCGCACAACGTGAACAGTGTGTGTTTTATAGAGAAAGGAAGAGATAGAGTTGGTATGCGTTTTACGAGAGAAAGAGCGACGCCAATTGATTGTAACAGTATATACTCTGAAAGTCCAACAGTACCGGGTGTAAGAGCGGTGCGGGGCTAGATCAACACTTCTCTATATTTTGAGGACGAGGTTTGGCATAGCAGCACCGTGTGTGCCGCCCTCAATGCGTCCGACCGACGGATGTCCCTGGGCGGGCTCTGTGGGGGGCTCTGGGGGGGCTGCCCTGCCCAGCCGGCTGTCATCATTTCTGGACAAACTTTTGTGAAATACGGGCGACGCTGAGGCAGGGCAGGCCGCGCCTGATGCTCCGAAGCGGCAGTCCTATGGCAGGACGACTACTGCACCACCGCGGCGCGCCCCTGCGGGCAATGCGACCGCTGTGACAGTCGAGCGACAAACGTATTGCCCACTACCCCCAACCCCTTCCCTTAAACCATCCCCTCGGGAGGGGGGCATACAACCTGCGAACTTTTCCTTGTTGTATTTCCCTGCCTATACCTGCGGGTGGACAACGCGTAAAAGTGGGTCACACAAGTTTTTTTTTCGACGCCGCATCTCCCGTACTTGAGCGTGTTAGGCTGCTGTGAATATACCCGCTGATTATCAGAGAACCATTCATATAATTTAATGAGCACTTGCATAAAAGAAAATACTTTGTGTCCGGTCGTGACAACCGGATCAACCAGGCAATCGGATTCTCGATTACACCTATCAAATTAAGGCTATCGAACATAGTTAATCCCCACACCAAGTCTTTTTTTTTTTTCGTGTATGTTAGCAAGGATGATATTGCTACACTCATACTGCATACCACGCCAGTGTGTAGGCAAAAGGTAAAGATTTTCTGAACGTTGGTTTTGCTCCACAGCTCCACAGTGACCCCCCCCCCCCTCTCTTTTTTCCTGTTTCCCCTCACTGTGCGCCACGGCGTTGCGGCGCTGTTAGATCTGACGTCGATAGCGCTGCTCTGGATTATCGTTGACGCCGTCGCTTTCCCGGAGACTTCTGTGCGCGCGTGCCGCTCGCACCGCGCCGCCCCTGCCCCATTTGACAACTTAAGTTTGTTTGCTTTTCTCTTTTTACGTGGGGTGCGCGCGTGCTATCTGCATGCGCCGTATCAAATGTATGGCTGTGTCACACTTTGTGCCAATTAAACTTGCTTCATTTCGGGTCCCACCGCAGCCGGTATTGCCGGTGGCGCGACGCGGTGGGGCGTTGCGGGGTTGTCGCCGCCACCACCGTGACCGAGGAAGCCCGCCCGCGCCAACCGCGCCCCTCCTTCCTTGCGTCTTTACATTGTGTCAAAGTTTCCATGCGCCACGTCAATGAACTCGGCCCGCCCGCTGCTGTTCTGCTCTGCAGATAAAGCGATAAGGAGATGATTATTTACAGATACAGCAGCGGCGGCGGGGGAGGCGGTTCAGTTCCGGTCCCCTCAGGAGCAGAGGGCAAACTTTGCGCTCGGCTCCATCGGATAGCTGCGGCCGTCTCGGTGTGTTCAGTGTCGTCTCCGTGTAAACCACAGACGAGGCAGGATGAGTAGAGAAAGGAAGGCGCGAGGATGACTGGCGTTGTCGCCATTGCATCTGTGGAGACTGTGATGATCCATGTAAAGCGCATATGCTGTATGTAGGTTTTTTACTCATTACCTGATACGTAGTGTTTGTCGGCAGTGCAATGCGTGCACGCCTCTCTCTTCCCGCACCACGCGCACACACACTCAGTGGCCGCAGGGGAGAGGAGGAGGCAGCCTTCATGCCGCACTCTCTTTATCATGATCGGAGGCTTTTTATGGCCGTCCAGCACCAGTCCAACCTGAGAAAATATTGGGCGGAATTAGTGGGTGCAGCTCGTGTACTAGGAAGAGCCTGCAACATGCCCCCCCCCCCCTTTCCCTCACTCCTCAACCTAACACCAGGTAGCGATCGTACTGCTCCCTTGGGAGGTAGGGCAAGGAGAGATGAGATTGAGGG